ATCGCTAAAGCTCGATCAGCATTTGTCAATCTGAGGCACTTGTGGCGTCGTCGCGACGTCTCATTCTCACTAAAAGGCCGAGTTTACAGCGCGTCCGTTCGCTCAGTATTGTTGTATGGGAGCGAGTCCTGGCCGATTCGCGTGGAAGACATGCGTCGTCTTTCTGCGTTCGATAATGGTTGCTTAAGGAGGATCGCTCGTGTTCGGTGGCAACATCGAGTTACCAGTACTGACGTTCGTCGTCGCGTCTTGGGGAATGCAAGTATTTCCTTCAACAAACTGGTTTTGTTGCGCCAGTTAAGATGGCTCGGTCATGTCCTACGCATGGCACCTGAGCGTCTACCGCGTCGCGCTCTATTCGCTCGTCAAGGACCTGGCTGGAAGCGACCGCGTGGTGGTCAGCCTTCCACTTGGCGGCAGCACATGAAATCGCTGACGTCGTGTCTAGCCGCTGTTGGACCCGTACGTCTTCCAGGATGGGGACCCAAAGATGGGGAGTGCCAATGGCTTAGGACACTTGAAGACATGGCCCGCAACCGGAATCAATGGAAGAATTGTGTACAGTGTTGTGTTGATTCACATGTTTAATTCTACAAACATTGAAAATGACAAAAAAGAGAAAAATCGGCGTGTGACAAACAAACTAAAAATGTTTTGTTCTGTATTTTTGTTCAAATATTCCATTTTCTTGCGGCATATTAGCTGAAATGTGTTGCCCACCTTCAGCTAGCATGCCACGACGATTATGACGTAATGACTGTCTCTTATACACTGATTTCCATGGCTTTCTTGGCTCTATGTCTAGTTACTAGACTGTTGAGATTACATACATACACAAGTGACACGAAGCTGTAGACGTTTGTGTACTGCCCATTCCACGTACTTTTCCTGTAGACGCAACGCTGTAGCGCACCTCCATCCAGTCTTTTCATGCCGACATCGAGGAAATGTAAGCGACCGTTTTCCTCCACTTCGCTGGTGAACTTTATTGCTGGATGGCCTTGGTTGAAAGTGTTTGTTAGTTCATCGATACTTCGAGACGACTGAAGCAAGACAAAAATGTCGTCCACGTAACGGCAATATAAACCGAGACTTGAGATCGTTGGCTTTAGCTTTCCCTGTTCCAGCATGCCCATGAAGACGTCGGCTAGGAACGGACCCAGTGGGGAACCCATCGCTACCCCATCGCACTGCCGGTATAATTCGCCATTGAATAGAAACTGAACATTGAACGTGCATCTAAGCAATAGTTCCTTTAGGATCACCGTGGGTATGCCAACCTTAATGTGGTTTGCATCAACATACTCACAGATGTAGTTTATGGTCTCAACTAATGGTACGTTGGTGAAGAGTGAAGTAACGTCGAGGAAGCACATAGTTAGATTGGAATCATTTACATCACGCACAATATCCACAAACTCAAAACTATCCTTCACAGTATGCACAACAATTCGCTCTCGAATAGGTGTAAGGATCAAAACCAGCCACCGAGCAATCGAGTGATATGGGGAGTTTTTCATATCCAAGACGGGACCCTAACTAACGCGTGCCGCCTAAACTGATCTTGTCAATTTTCTTCTGTTATTGCCTCTATATGGTTATAAACGTTTGATAATGAATCATCGAAAGCAATTATTCACCTTCGGTGTCATCCTCTACCCGAACTATACTCCTTAACTTCACGAATGTTTTTAGTTGAACCGATCACTCCTTGCTTCCTTTTTAATACATCTTCAAATTTTTATACTGCGACACCCTTTCCAGGAAATCCAATCGCACAACGTCCACTCTAAAACAAATGCATTCTAGGATGCACAAAAATCTACACACATAAGCACCATTGCTCCTCTCTATCCACCGTCGTGCTCATTTGTTTTTCTGCTATCTCACATCCATTGTTAGTTGAGTTTTAGCGCACAATCGATACGATCAATCTATCATGTGCACAGTGTGTTTCTCTTTGGCTACGAAGTGTGCCTTACTTGCGCCTGTCATCCCATGCGCTGTACCTACCGCGCTTGCACTTAATCGACGTAAAGCATTTGTCTTTTATTATGTAACACAGGTTGATCTGCTTTCTGTGGTTAATTGGCAAGCAAGAAGGGACTTGACTGAACGAATGTTCTTTTCGCCGAAACCCCCTCCAATTGTTTCATGAACGACGTACTTCGCATCTGTTGCTTTAATCGGTCGCGCAGTTGTCCACATTCTTTAATAAACTCGGCAGTCGACTGTCATCTGGGTTGTTTTTTTGATACCAGATCCCAAGCGAACGCATGTACTTGTTCAAACCTACTTAGGTTGTCACTTCTCTTGGTGTAGTCGCATTCCGGTACATTTACCCGTGCTTCCTGGACAGTGGAGTTGACTTCAAGTAATGTCATCCACTCCATCTTTTTGTAAGTTGCTACCCGCCTCATCATCTTTTACAATTGGAAAAATCATCTTACTGAAGACGTACGAATCAAAAGCCAGATAATCGAACAGGCTTGTTTTCGATGGCTCTCATCGAGCTTGTGCATCACATCAGGTAACTGAAAATAAAACTAACACCGAATATTTAAGCTCAGTAAATCAAGGAAACGGGGTGTCTAATCGTTATAATTATGTGTCCGCGTTACTTGGGGTAAGTTAGTTCTCTTCAAAAGTTTGAAAAGCGCGGTAAGAAGACGGAAGCTGGTAGATGCATGCATTTCGTATTGTTTTCTCAGTAACATTAAAAATAAACGGTATGCAACTATAGACTTAACTTTGAGTGTGATCAAATAAGCACAAGGTGCAAAATGAATGACGGAAGTTCCACCCTTATGTCCACGGCAATCGTAAGCTGAACACACAGGGCCGGCTTCATTTGACTTATCCCAACGGCCTAGGCGAAACGGAGGATGTGAGGATTGGGGTGACGTAGCACAAGTGTGAACGCTGATCCAAGCTCTATCCAGTGACGCTAGTCAGTAAGTGTTTACCTATTGAGGAAGTTGGCAGCTTGTGCAAGCACGTTTAGCCTTTTGTTCGTCGGAGCGGCAGATTGTCCAGTTGGTGCAGCAACTCAACGGTGCACATGCCAACTTGCGGACCACCTGCGAATTGGAACAGAAGAACTGTCTGCCATTCTTAGGCATCCTCATCAGGCGCAGGGATGACGGCCTCATTAAGAGGTTTATCTACAGAAAAGCAACATGGTCTGGCCAATACCTGCACTTCACACCAGTGCGGTACAAGAGGACCCTTGTGAAAAATTTAGTCGTGTTAGACGATTTGCTCGGCTGATTGTCTAGCCGACGAACTAGTGTTGATTACAACACTCATCGCGAATGGTTATCCCCGTAGATTTATAGAGAAACAGCCAACAGCGAGGCCTGAAAGGCTTGGTGCATACGGCAGCCAAGGAAATGATCTATATCGATTTGCTTTTCAAGGGTGACATTACTGTATCGAAAACCACGAAAGGTTTACTCTCTGCTACGCATAGAAGTTACTGTGGTCATCAATAGAACCCGTAACTTGCCGGTGCCTCTAACGAAGGAAGCTCAACCGATCGGGGCCAACTCACACTGCATATACAAATTCGTGTGCGATTGCGGAGACAGTTACCTAGACAGAACCAATCGGTCTTTGACTTCCCGAATAAAGGAACACGTGCCAAGGTGGGTTCAACGTAAAATTTATCAGCATCCCTGTTCCACTGAAGTTCCGTGTTTGCGCAAGCCGTTAGCTTCCTCACCTACTGACTACGCGTCACCGACTATAGCTTGGATCAGCGTTCACACTTGTGTTACGTCACCCTACTTACCGCTTCTTCCGTTTCGCCGAGGCCGTTACGATAAGCCGGATGAAGCCGGCTCTGTGTGTTCAAAAGCAGTTATTTGTCAGCTTAAAACTGCCGTGCAACTTCCGTCATTCATTTTGTCCCTTGTGCTTATTTGGTCACACCGATTGTTAAGTGTATAGTTGCATACCGGTTATTGTTATTGGTACTGAGGAGACAATACGTAATTCATGCATCTTACAGCCTTCGTCTTCTTACCGCGCTTTTCAAATTTCTGAAGAAAACTAGCTACTTTAAATTTTTGCAACTTATTTAACTTAAAACTATTCCATCGATTTTCGTTCAAACGCGTGTCCTCACTGCTTTTTTGCGTCTCTGTTGAAGTTAAGAATAAACTACGCTAAGCTAGGATTTGTCTAACGCTGCAGTATAACCACAGTTCATCCAAGGAGAAAATCCAACAAGGTATTATCCCGACCTTGGAAATTTGACAACTTCAATATCTGACGTTTCTTAAGTCAGTAGGCTTGCGCGTCCCGTTGGTTATTTGAATTTCCCGGAGTCCACGAAGGTCCATTGATCAGCGCTGACCCGTATCCTCGCTCCGACCGAATAAGGTTTGTCTCTGCTTAAGCGCTTTCCTGACAGTGACTATATGGCTATTCGTCACTTGATTCAGAACTTTCTCTTTGTCTCGGAGTTGCACGTCCTATTGCTGTCTAACCTATTTTCCGGTTTTATCACCACTGTTTTACTACACCCCCTATCATTACTACCCTATCGGTTTGATATTATTTCCGCCCATGTTCTACTGAGTTGCCTAGCTCACGTCCGATTACTTCAAAGTTCTGAATCAGCTGCTTATTGTGGCGCATGAGCGCTGATCGTCGTGAGGAGCGTTTCTTTGTTTTCTCATTACTTCTCCCAGAAGCATTGATTTTTGCAGCAAGTTTAGACAAGGAAGAGACTGATCGTTGAGTGCAGGGTGGAAAGCCACCCACACCGTGGCTTACCCCATTTTTGCTATCCACTTATCACTAGACAATACTTTCGAGGAACCATAGTATCCCTCAGCGCATTTCAAAGCAGTGCTTTTTCACTGTGTTCTGATTTTCTATGGCTATTTTGCCCTCGTTGTTTGGGAGCCATTGATTGCCAACAGCATTATTTACTAATATTCCAATACCGTATGTCTGCTATACTTTTTGACGCATCTTAATTTGTCTTTTAGGAAGCGGACATACAACTTCGACGTACTGCTCTATCAGATACTTGTCTGAGTTCGGCTGCTGGTGGCGGTGCGGCCATCGGACGACAAGGCGCGCTTGGTACGATTGCTAGTGTTCCGCCCATTCTTTACCTTATCCTTGCTCTTTTGATTGGACTTTTCCTGGGAAAGTTTGCTCTCTAATATCCCTCGCATTCATCCACCCTTATTTTGTGAACTTCCTTTGTCAGAAGGCCCCTTTAGTTAGCTCTGTTTTCTTTCAATTCTTAGCTACGTTTTTTGTCTTTGTTCTCTGTCTAATTCCGGGATTATCGGCTTCCCTATCCCATTTCTAATCGTCTACCGCCCAGCGCTCCATTACCTTTACGCAGTATCTGAATAGATGAGTGGTTTTTCCGGGTGACATGTAGCCAGCTGTTATTCCGGTTCCATGACTCCATACTGGGTCCAACATTCGTTCCGCTTCTTGCAGTGCAGCATATGTGTTCCTTTCCATTGCGCCTAACGCTGCCACACTTCGAGGCATTCAGCATATACTTGTGTCTACCCGTTCAAACGAAGGCTGAGTTCGCGCCGCGACCGTGCTAGCTCAACCACACCATGAGCAGTCTTATCCCACGTCACGGAGTCATAACACTTTATCCCCGATTGTTGCCCCGGTCTCCTTGTGACTTTTCTTCCTTTCCCCTCCGACTATGTACATGTGGAGACATTAAGTGTCTCCTCTGATCACATTGTTTGTGTACATGATTGTATCCATGCTATTTGATCTGTTTGCGTGTGGGATACCAGCTCTGTCTTCCTCTTCTATCTTGTTTCAATCACATTTGGTGTGCTACTTGTTTGCCGTTGCTCCACCTCTCCACCGTCATCTGATGCTGCATGTTTCCCAATCCCCATTTGTCTTCTTTTATCCACAATGCTTCATTTTTCTTCATTCGCCCGAAGCAAGGCGATCGTCCATGCAGTTGTACACCGTTGCTCCGATGGTCTTTCTCCATTCAACGACTATTGGAGCAGTGGTTCTCGTGGTCTCCTTAAGGTCGTACTGCATACACTTCTGTTCGATTTGGTGCTTTGTTCCTCTGTTTGGAGTCGATTTGTCCTGCTCATTTTAATCGTTCAACACCCTCTGGAACATTTGTCTTCTAATCGGTGGTAGTCAACTTTAGGTCTCAGCTTCACGATCGGCCAGGGGACATCCCGTGAAACTCATCGTTATTTCAGCATAATCTCAAACCATTCACATGCATCATGCCGTGGCGATTCACTGACGAATCATTGAAAGTTAGACTGCTTTCTCCTCAATAGAATACGCATTGGTCGCATTTTTGCTCTCCCCCACTTGCTCTAGTGTCACAATATTTGCAACAGCCTACCATGGTAGTCTTTCTCTATTTCAACACTACCTCTTAATCGGCTTATCGCATCTGTGTTCGTTTTTGTAGAGTACACCGGAATAATTGCGGTCTACTCTAAATTCTCTGTAATGCGTCAACCCTGGTCGAGTAAGGATCCACGAGAAACTGTTTTGGTCGTTAGAGGTGGGCCAAGTAAGATGGGTTCCCACTGACTCATGCCTGGGGTGCCGTTGTATTGTCATAACACACGACGCTGGTTAAGTAGTGTGTACTGGCGAAGCGAACACAAGACTGGACAACGTAACTTCCAGTGTCACAAACTACTGTATATGATAGTCAAAAAGTGTGATTTTATAGGATGCGTTTCCCACAAGTGTTGCCTGTTTTGTGTGCCACGCGACAAAGACAATGTTCTGTTCTACTAAAACAACCACAAGTTTCGTGGGTTTTTTGTGAAAATATGACAATTCTGTCCGTACCCATCTGTAGTCAGTTGCACGTTCCACTTGGAATATGCTGGTTCGCATTTTGTGGCACAGTAACGAGTCCGAACACAGTTCCGTAGCATCAACTGACTTAGGTTCTCCAAACCCTCAATTTTACTTGAGTTAGGTTAACTCTAACCCTAAAAGCATCTTTTATGTCCACTATAACATGGGAAGCTCGTCAGGACTACTTAATTTCCACTTTAGTTCTTTACTCAGAATGATTATACATGACTGTCACCTACCATTTCCTCTGCAGAGGAAGTTATTTCAAGCAGTCCACTCTAACTTCGAGTACGCGAATGACGTTAGCTTCCTTGGATCCAGCCCAGATGCTGTGTAAGCGCTGCTGGATAGCTGCCAACTGGTGCCGCATGCTAGGGCATTTACCTCGCACTTGAGAAGTATTGTCACTGTACCGGCTCAAAGCATTGCCAATTTCTACAGTCATGAAAAAACTAAATAACTATATTGTTATCGACCACGTCAGGCACACCTGCACATCCATGATCATGGTAATAAAACAACGAACTAGCGGCAACTTCACCAGAAACTTATTGTATCTACGTATACATATATATATGTAGCATGTCCATTATCTGGAGCGCTTCCATCAACATTGTCTACGTCGTATTCTGCGCAACGGCTGGGGGGACCGAGTTGCAGACACCGAGGTCCTCCGACAGATTGGCATATATGCAGTGAACTGCATACTTCTGTTGACAAATCTGACGTGGTTCGGGCATGTTCGCCGCATTTATTAGATTCGGATACCGAAACATCTGCTTTATGGCCAACTGCGTGCAGGGAAGCAACACGTCGGAAAGACTTGAAGGCGCCTCAGATCTTCAGATGGAAGGCACCAAGTCTCACTACCATAGAGCAGAACGGCCTTCACTGTTGCCTTGTATACACGGTCTTTCAGACGGATGGAAACTCGCTTCTGTCGCCAAAGATGCTGCATGTTCAAGAAGGCACCTCTTGTCTTTGCAGTGCGTGAAATGTCTTCAGTTTCTATGCGCCTTTCGTTGCTGATGCAGCTGCTAAGATAAATGAATTGATCACCCACCTTGAGTTCGTTAGCGGCGGTCAAGGGGTCATCGAGTGGCTGGTGGTCCTGCAGCAACACTTTGCACTTTGAAGGTGCGAAGTGCATACCAAATAATGGGACCACACTAGACAGGCTATTCAGTGTTGATTGTGCCGCTGCAACAGCGTCGAAATGCAAGACGATATCGTGCGCATAATTAAGATCAACTAATCTTTCACCAGTTGGCACTTCAGCGCGGACGTCGTGAGATTCCGCAAGGGAACACTCCATGATAGAATCCACGACGAAATTGAACAAAAATGGGGAAATCGGACAACCCTGACGAACGCCGCTCGTGGTCGGATGGCTATCCGCTAGGCCACTGTAGACCCTGACGCGGCCTGTATTGTTCGAGTATAGAGCACGTAGGATGTTCACATCTTTCGTGGGAACACCTTTCCGCGCAAGTATTTCGAACAGAATCGATCGATCGACTGAATCGAACGCACTCTTGAAATCGAGGAACACAGCTATTGTCGGTGTGCGGTATGAGTGGCGCTGCTCTAGCACCTGCCGCACAGTGAATATATGGTCTATACAGCCACGTCCTGGGCGGCAATCAGCCTGCTCTTCCCCAATCCGAGATTCCCGTTCCACAGTGAGGCGACGAACGATAATCGAGGCCAGTACTTTTGTCACAACTGGCGTTAGGCTAGTACCCCTGTGGTTAGAACAATCTGTGCGACTGCGCTTCTTGTATCATCATCATCATACACGTTAGCCAGAGGTGGGGGACACCTCAGCTACTGTGCCGCAATACACAGAAAAAAGGAGAGAAAAAGCAACTGGTGCAAGCCGGCTGAGCTACCGGTAACGGATGGGCATCGTTCCGGTAAGCTACCAGCCGGCTACTGTGCATCAAAAAAATTACTATGCAAAATTATTTAAGGCTTAATAATGAGATTGTGGTTGGAGGGGGAGGCTAAGAGGGATGGGGTGGGACAAAGAAACTCACAGAACGAACGCCACTGAGGTCGGCTCCTTACCATGTCAGCAAGTGTGTCCAACCAAACGTATTCATTGTCTTTCGGACCCCAATCAGGGAGTCGAGACGCTCCAACCGAGGCCAGCTCAGAAGTGAGGGCCTTCATTCCTCTGGACCAAGTCATCGCTTGGCCACCCCTCTTCTTCCATCCACACCCCCGGCGCGCAAACAACGCACGTCGCGGTTGTCGGTGGGCTGGCATGCGTAACACGTGGCCGAGCCATCGGAGCCTGGTGCATGAAATAACGGTGCTGAGCGGTTCTGTTCCTTTTCCTGTGCCGTAAACAAGGCGTCGAAGACGCTCGTTACTCACGCGGTGTTCCCACCAGATGTGAGCTAAATTGCGAAGGCACCGGTGTTTGAACGTAACTAGCCTCTTCAGGTCCGTTGCTTTTAGGGGCCAGGTTTCACAACCGTACAGTAGGGTCGAACGTGCCGCTGCATTGTACACTCTACCCTTCAGGGCAAGAGTGATGTCGCGCCGCCGCCATAAGTGGCGAAGATTAGCAAAAGCGCCCCGAGCTTTTGCTATACGGTTCGTGATTTCATCTTCAGTCCCACGGGCGCTGATACAACTTCCCAGGTAGTTGAATTTTTGAACGAATCTAGTTGATCCCCACCAATGGTCAGCGAAGGTGGCGGTCCAGACCAATCTTGGAGGAAAGCTTTGCACTTCGAGGGTGCGAAGCATAGCCCGAAGTGACGGACAGCTAGTGGTAATCTGTCCAATGCCGCTTGGCACGTCTGGGAGCTGTCACAGATTAGGGCAATATCATCAGCATACTCTAAGTCAAGAAGTCATTCTCCTGGGAGCAGATCCACACCTTATAAGTCGCGTCCTGTAAACGCGATTTCCATAACTTCATCAACAGCGAAATTGAAGAGGAAAGGTGACAGCGGGCGTCCTTGTCTCACCCTGCTGGAGATGTTAAAGGACGACGACAACTTGCTGTAAGCCCTCACTCTGCCCGAGTTCGCGCATATAATGCTCGGATAATATTTGCATATTTCTCAGGTACACCTTTCCTGAGTAGACAGTCCCAAAGTGCATGTCTATCCACCGAATCGAATGCACCTTTGATATCGAGGAACACAATAATATATGTGATGGTGCTCCAACAACTGACGCAAGGTGAAGATGTGGTCAATGCAGGCACGACCTCGGCGAAACCCGGCTTGCTCTTCACAAATCTGGCTTTCACGCGTGCCAGTCAGTCTGTGAAGGATGACCGAGGCAAGCAATTTGGAGGCGATGGAGATCAGACTGATTCCTCTATGGCTGCCGCATTCCGATCGTGTGCCTCCCTTGAGAATTGGGACTATGACGGAACGGCTCCAGTCGGTTGGGACAGTTTCATTAGTAATTCGTGTAAATTATCCACAAGAGCAGGTCCCCCGAATTCGAAGAGGGCTGGAGGAAGATCATCAGGTCCCGCGGCTTTACTTAACTTCAACAGTCCGATCTCACGTTCGACTTCTGAGCGAGAGGGTGGATCCAGAGGGACAGCCCACGGAGCGGGGCGATCAGTGGCCGGCGAGAAATCTAACAATTCCGGCCGATTAAATTGCTTTTCAAAGTGCTCAGCCTAACGCTCTAAGCGTTTTGACAAGTTGTGGATTTGCTGTCCATTCTCGTCACAGATTGTTTCACTAACACCAGGTCTTCTGCTGCCCGATCCCCGTATCAGCCGGAATAACTTGCGATGGTAGCCAATGGCAGCGGCCATTTCCATCTCTGATGCACGATGAGACCACCAGGATTCGTGGTCTCTCTTCAGGCTAGCACGGAGTTTTGCCCGGAGCTCTTTGCGAGTTTCATTGTGTTCGCTTCCAACCGGAATATGTTGGCGAGCATGTATAAATTCCAGAGACTGTGAAGAGACCCAATGTCCTTGTTGGCGATTAGACATACCACATGAGGATTTGCCTGCTACAAGTAAGGTCTGGTGAATATGAGGCCAGTGAGCGTTTATCCAACTCGGATGACAGCATACTTTGATAGGCATTCAGAACAGCCGGCTTCGCCAGTTGGCTGGTGTCAATGCGCTCACAACGTCGTCTTGGGCGTCCGCCAAAGCGCATCCGCAGTTCAGCACATACAAGTGCATGATCGGTGTCCACACCTGTGCTCCAAATCGAGCGACAGTTCTGGACGCAGCCTCTCCAGCGGTAACTGATTGCAATGTGATCGATTTGCTTCCAAGGCTGGTGGGCGCCAAGTCACCCTCCGGCGGGTGCTGTGTCGGAAATTAGTGCTCGCAAGAAATAAGCGAGCATCCTCACACAAATGAAGTAACCACTCACCGTTATCATTACGGGAGCCCATACCGTGTTGGCCGCCCAGATGCAGCTCATCAGTGGATAATTTTCCAACTTGAGCGTTCAGATCCCCGGCCAACCCTACAGTGTCCGAGCTTCTTCTGTAGCTAAGGAGCTCGTTCAGTTGACGATAAAAGTCGTCTTTTACCGAGTCATCGCTACGGTTTCTCGGTGCATATACAGCGATAACGAATAGACACCTGTTAGTCCCACGCGACTTCGAAGCTTTAAACGAGCCAGCCAATCGGACCGCACATATCCGGCTACTGATTGGAATCCAATCAACGAGAGTAGCTTCAGTCCGGGGACTCAGGGCAATACCAACACCGGCTTGGCCGGTGCTCGAAGTTGCATCGTTACCGGATAGGCGCAATGAGAAAGTGCTGCTAGTGTCACCTGAAGGGGATCGCAGAGTGCGCACAGAGCTCGAGTCTTTCAAGCGGGTCTCCGATAAGCAGCAGATATTGATCGAGAGGGTCTCTAATGTTCGGGCAAGTGCTGCCTGTTGACCGAGCTGAAGCAATGTGCGAACATTGAGGCATGCCAATCTGAAGGAGGATCAAGGGCTCCAAATGGAAGCCGATGAACTGGGCTTGACGGCTTGGTTGGACATGGGCCTGTTGACAGGGCAGGAATGACGCTCCGCATTTACATGTGAGTTGAAACTAAAAGACAAGCGACTATTGAAGCAAGGTGGGGGGTTGAAAACAGGGTGGATAAAAGTGAAGCTGGAACGGGACGATAAGGGTGAAAAAGCGTAAGTGGGGGAATAAGAAGACGGGAAGGCTTGAGCAGTAGCATACGAACCCCTATCCACCCTGCTCGATGCAGCAGATAGGGCACCGTTGATTATCCTCTGCAGTGGCCAGAGCATCAGAAATTTGTTTGAAGTGAGATTCATAGTATTGCGTGGGCAGGATACTGTCAGGTTGCCCAGGCCTAGACAGGAGAACGATTAGGATTCTCAACCAAAGCCTTTGGTTCAAAAAACCTGTCCACAAGGCAGCGGGTTTGGCATTGGGCTACAAGGAGCCCGTTTTAAGGAATAAGGAGCCACCCTCATTCCAACCCCCAACCTGGAGGGCGAGGAGGCTGAGTTTGTCTGGCCTCTAACCATTGGCCAGTCTGGTATGAGTGGCTCTGAAGGTGCAAAAATGCACCACCCAGTATAGCTCAATGGATCACTGAGGCACACACCACGGTAAGGTCCAGCCTCATTGCGATGGGTTCTTCTTGTATGTTGCCACTATAATCGATTCGCTCCAATTAGCCGGGACACTATCTTCCTTCCAGATATGTTCGAATAGGGAGGTCAGTGCTTTGCAGAGGACCTCACTTCCATCCTTAAATAGTGCAGATGGGAGGGAATCCTGGCCAGCGGCACGAAAACGATTAATGGCTGTGATCGCGTTTCGAACCTCGGTCTCCTACGTAGGCTCTAACCTAACCATACATGACTCGTCCTGCATCACCTGAGTAGGAAGAGGTCTGAGAGCCAACTGAACTGATCTTGAAAGTGTTCCGCCCAACGAGCCATTCGGCGCTCCTTATTGTGTGTCAGCACACCCGCGCTGTCTCTTATTGTTTCACTTACGCCTGGTTTCTTGGGACCAGTGGTGCGGATAAGCTGGAAGAGCTTGTGTTAATTGCCTACTGCTCCTACCTCCTCCATTTTTTGAGCCCGACTGGTCCACCAGGCTTCCTTGTCAGCACGTAGGTTCTGCTTTAGTTCATGCCTAATAGCCCGTCTGGTCACATTGTGTTCAGAGCCATCCGGGAGGTGTATTCTACATTCCAACTAGTTCACCGACCTCTCGGATATCCAGTGACTGGTGCGGTGACGACTGATAGTGCCACAAGCAGATGCTCCTGCGTCGTGCATGGCGAACGAGATCCTATTCCACTGAAGTTCAGTGTCATTAGGACAAGACAGCGAGAGTTCGGTATGCAGTGCTTCTTGATAGGCTTGCCTGACCGAGGGCTGGGACAATTTTTCAGTTACCAGTCGGAGGAGACGCTTGGTGCCCCTCCTGGTAAAGTACACGGAGAAGCGACAGCGTACCAAGACGTGATCAGAGTCTCTTCAGCTGGAGCTGGCATAGAGCTGGAGTAAGTAGAAAAGAGAAAAGGAGACGGAATTGCTCCCTGAAGGACAGCTGCGTTGGTGGGTAATGGGGAGGAACGTCAGCCACTGAGCCTAGTGATCTTAGTGCGTTCAGCAAGATAATCACTCAGTAAATAGACAATAGAAGGATGTGCTCCTTGTGTAAGTAGGCCTTCCAGCAGTAATTCGCTGTTCACACAGCGCAGTACATTGCTGCAGAGAAGGAAACAAGTCCGAGTTGCATTATTCGTATTGTCAAGCGATGACAGTACAGGATGTAAGAGGTAGGCCACGGCAACTAAGGTAGACCTCGAACTACAATTGGCGAACTGGCGGGGTCTTAGAGCGTGTTCTTGGATGGCATCGTTTCGAGAATGACTTTCTCCAGAACCTAGAAAACAACTGAAATGCACGCGATAAGTTGATATTTGTTAATGGTTAGCTCAATCTCAGTTCGCAATTCCTCCGCAGTCCACACATTTTGGTGTGTTATGATTTCCAGAGTAAAGAATGAAAAGGGGTCGGATGAAGAAGAGTGAAGGAAGTTCTGGCAACCGTAAAACTTTTACAATACGCCTCTTCAGGAGGGCTTGACCAAGTGCATGCAATGTGGGTAGCACGTTTGATGTGTCTTTGTCATCACCGCACTTACATCTCGGCCCCCCATTCTAATAACACTTTTGCGTTGTAATTTAGTTACAACATTGTCTTTACGTATTTCACCGTCAGGAATTTTGAAATTGCTCTCTTAAACAGCGAAGGTGAGTCGCATTCTGTTATTTCACTAGGGAGGCTGTTGCAGATCTCAGTGTTTCTGGTTAGAAAGAATTTTCTTCAAACATAAGTTTTCGTTATGAACACTGGGCGTGTGTTATTGGTATTTCTAGTTGCGTAACTAGATACTTTTTGAGATGAACCTTGATATTTGACACGAAAGTGTGCTTATAGATTCAATCAGAGGTATGATATTAAAAGCTATGTGAATCTTAGCCACAGTGGCTCCAGTTGTAGCACCTTACAACGTTCCGAGTAGTTAAGACGAAGATTTAAAGGTGGCCTTTGTGAAGGATCTCTACAAGTTTTCTAGGCAAATGCGGTCACGTTTCCTGCTGTTTATAAAGAATATCGAACAGTACTCTAGTACAGGGCGAAGGCAGGCCTTAAACAAGTACAGTTTAGGTTCACGCATCGAAAATGGTGTTAAGATAAGTTTTTGCGCATCTTCGTGATTTGGCCGTTATGAATTCAACTTGTTCACGAAAATTCCAAGTGTTAGAGTACTGGATGTCCAGAGCTAGTATAGTCTTATGGCGGGGAATGGGTTTACCACCAAGGTAAACTGTGTTCGGGAAAAGTTCGCATTTGTTTGTTAACACACTGCACTTGTCCGCTGAGGAAGATATTTGCGAATCAACGCACCAAGATACCAAGGCCAGTAGATTTGTGCGAACGTCTTCTTGGGTGTCGCTCAAACACCGGATATCGAAGGTGTATCGTATTTTTCTATCATCCGCAAAGACATAACTTGTTCCAACTTTTATTTTTTCAGTTATAGCATTGATATATCTCATTGAATCACACCGCTTTTGATCTTCATTGGTGAAGACTTAGCATGTCCTATTTGTACCTGCTGCGTACCATCAGATAGATAAGATTTGTACCATGAGTGCAAAGGATCGTGATCCCGAAATTGGCCAGCTTCACAAAGAGGTTGTTATGCGGCCCCTCATCAAACGCCTTCTGCATATCAATAAAGAGAATGATGGCCGCTTTTTTATTGTCAATGGGACTTGTCAAATGGTTTAGAAAAGATAGATGACAAGTCCGACATCAGCGTTTTTGCGAAAACCCGTGTTGAGCTGGGTTTCTTAAATTCAATCACAGCAAGTGCATAACAGTTTTCTCTTTCACACTCCTTTCCACTATTCTTGAAATAATCGGAGTGTGGCTTATTGGACGGTACTTTTTTATGTCTCGTTTTGAACCATTCTTATGTCTAGGTACTATAACAGAGAGTTTCTATTGATTCGAGAATATACCTGGATTCCTAGATAAGATAAACATATTTAGAACCGAAAGTGATGTGTCCCGGTTATCAAACTTATCGGAGAAGTTGGTAGACCATCAGATCCAGGATGGAACGAAAATCCCTAACCGACCAACGTGAGCTTGAATGACATCGTAATCGAAATGCACTGTGCTAAGTTTGCCAACATCAGAAGGAGCGCTAATCGTAACTGGGCTGCTTGAGGTAGTAAACAAAGTGGTAAGTGTTCATTCATGATGTTCCTATTATGGTGGGGTCCCTCGTCTTGGATCTGTTAGGTAGTACGATGCATGATACCGATTTAGTTTGACTGTCGTTTCTGGTCTTCAGTAGCTTGACCAAGGCTTTAGATTTATTGTCATTTATCAATGCTCACTTTTCCTCTGTTAGTAGCTTTGCGGCACGAATCGACCGCAACTGGTCAAAGAGCTTAGCTTGTCTGATAAGTAATGACAAGTCGCGAATCTGTCCACTTTTGAGCGAATTATTTTCACCGTACGCAGTAGACCTGCTTCGCACGTAGTTTTCGTATAAAACCTTTATCAGATCGCTTTACTAGTGGAGCAAGGATATGAAGATACTGTTAGATATTTGCGTGTTCTGTCTGCTGCAACCTGAGGATCTCTGGTGAGAAAGCAGAGATCCCAAAACATTTTTCGCAGCAGTTTAGCAATGTATACCAACGCATGCATACGCACACACACCTATCTTCAGTCCAGGTAAGCTGTATCACGTCAGATGTGGGGTGTTCTGTCGGTTCTTCACACGCTGCCCTCCATCACCTTGGCTAAGGGCCGGCATGCGTAAAACTAGGGGCGAGACATAAAAACACGGTTTAATCTTCTTAATGATAACTACGATTGTCCGATTAGCGAAGTTAAAGAGGGGCAATGAAAAAGTGGAATCATTTTCCGAAAAATTACAGTATTTCATAAAACCAGAACACGATAAGACGTATCGAATCTTTGAACTTTGTGCCTCAGAGTGGTGTCACAATGGGAAATCTGCACCGAACATCGTGACCTTGCGTTGCATATTTCTTTCCCAAGCCATTAGCTTTTCCAGATGTGAGCGTTCATTCTTGAAACTCAAGCTCGCGCACCTTGCAGATCTATCCGTAAAGAAGACACTTGCTGATGGCTTCGTCGAAAAGTGTGTTTCAAAAATTTTTATACGATTGCACCTGGGATCAGAGGGTCGCCGAGTCTTCGACGTTGTCGGTCTTCGAGTGAAACCTACCTTAAAGGACGCTTTAGCAATGGTGGATAAGCATTCGGGCTTTCGCGTGAAGATATACGCGTCCCGCCACAAATTTTTGCAGTTAACTCAGGCCCCTGATGAGACCATGGATAATTTCATTTCTCGCCTCGTGTGTTCAGCTCACTAATGTAACTATGACTGTGTCCAGAAGAAGAGACCTGTAGATACCATGCTGAGATAACAATTGGCCTCTGGAACTTCGGGTAAGGGGGTCTATTAATAGTGGGTCCAGATAAGCTGTCTTGTGACAGAGCCTGCGACATGGCTTTTATGAGGGCTCCATTTACTGAACAGAATAAATTGTTTCTTCCCAACGCAGCAGCCACCAAAATTGATTGACTGGATTCACCCATTTCTTTGATATGTTGCGCGGATGGAAACAAATGTTGACGTTATGGAAATACTGAACATCGTGTAAAAAGTAGACCTCCATCTGTAAAGCATATGATTTATCAAAACTCTGCTACTTCGAGTCATTTTGCCGAGTTTGTCGCTCTTGTATCATTTCCCGCGTCGATTTTCCACAACTGACCCCACGCCATCGTTACCCATCAGTGAAACATCCATAGGTGGCGTAAGAAAAATAGGGCATTTGATTCTTTGCCTGCTCATGAAATAAAAATGCCCTCATCGGATATTCACTATTTTGCAGTGCGAAGCAAATGACATCATCATCGCCAGCATCATCATCCTCATCATCACCAGCATCATCATCCTCAACATCATCTTCATCATAATCATCATCATCTTCTTCAATAGTCGTTAGCTAGTTGTGAATAAATCACCTCAATTACTGGTTCTCAATCTAAAAAATGCTACCAAACGGTTTACACTAAAATTTTTGCAAGGCTTGTTATAAAATTTTAAACATTATATTACGCATTTCGTATGAGATCGGAATAGGAAGGGGAATCTATAGGGGGAGTGCGTGAACAAAGAAACTCACTACACAGACGGTATTTGGGTCGGTTCTTCTAGACATCAGCAAGTATGTCCCAACAGACGCGTTCATCGTCCTTCGGATTCCATCCCGGCATTTGGGATGCACCAACCGACGTTAACTTCGAGACGGCGTTTCCCTTTCTCTTGATAAAGTCATCCTTTAGTCTTCCCTGGTCCTCTTTCGGCCATACCTCCGGCGTGCAAACAATGCAGTAGCAATAGTCGGTGTATTGGCATGCCCAACACGTGGCCCAACCATCGGAGCCTGATGCGTGATATGATGGTGCTGGGCGCTTCACTCGCTCTTCCTGCACCAAATACACCACGCCGAACAAGCTCATCGCTCATGCGGTGCTCCCACCAGACATAAGCTATGCTGCGAAGGCAGTGATGACCGGACGTGACGAGCCTGCCGGGCCAGGTTTCACAAGCGCATAAGAGGGTAGAACGGAGGGCTGCGTTATAAAATCTGCCCTTCATGTAGAGACTGATGTCGCTTCTGTGCCACAGATGCTGGAGATTGGCAAAAGCACCTCGAGCTTCTGCTATACGGTTGGTAATCGCAGCTTCGATCCCACGGGCGCTAGTATAGCTGCCCAGGTAGTTGAATTCCTGAAGGACTTCTATCTGATCATCACCAAAGGTCAGCGCAGGGTTTGGTCCTTGCCAAGTTTGGAGAAGAACTTGGCATTTCAATCGAGCAAAGCATAGCTTAACCGATTGGCAGCCAGTGCTAATCGGTCCAGTGCAGCCTGGGGCGTTTGGGCGCTGTCACATATGAGGGCAATGTTGTCCGCATACTCCAAGTCAAGAAGTCGCTCATCAGGATGTAGCTCCACACCTTCTAGGTCGTGTCCAGCGAACGCTATCATGACTACATCAGTTGCAAGTTAAAAGGAAAGGTGACAACGGGCAACCTTGTCTTACACCGCTGGAGATATTGAATGACGGCGAAAGTTTGCCATAATCCCTCACTCTGTCAGGACTATGCGCGTACAGTGCTCTGGTAATGTTTACATATTTATCAGTATACATTTTCTCAGCAAACAGTCCCACAGGGCGCATTGATCCACCGAATCGAAGGCATCTTTGATGTCGAGAAACACGACAACGGTGGGTCGTCGATAAATATGGCGGTGCTCCAACAATTGACGCAAGGTGAAGATGTGGTCGATGCAGCCTCGATTCCGACGAAACCCGGATTGCTATTCGCGGATCTGGCTTCCACGAGTGCTAGTCAGTCTGGGGAGAACAACGAACGTAAGCAATTCAGAGACAATTGAGACCAGACTGATCACACTATGATTGCTACATTCCGAACGGGAGTCACCCTTGAAAATTGGAACTGTGACGGAGCAGCACCAGTCTCTCGGGATAGTTTCCTGTTCCCAAAGTTTCACTAACCATTCGTACAAATCATCTATAAGCGCAGGTCACTCGAATTTGAATAAGGCGAGGGTAATTCTATCTAGACCAGCGGCCTTATGCAATTTCAATAGTCTG